CTCAAAAGTGTTCTCTTTCTCTATTTTCTGGGACACTGAATGCTGTAGAAAGGTCCTGTAATTAGGTCAATGGAAACAGCGTTCCTGCTATGTTGTGTTCTCTGTATTTTTCCAGACATGGAAAACTTGGTAGTGCTTGATTTTTGTATTAAAAAGGTACTCTGTTCCAAATATTTGCCTCCATATTGTTTTGTACCATTTCCTCTTCCAAAGCAATGTACTCTATTTTAATCTTTTGAGAATGGAACAGAAATTTTTTCTTCACAATTCTGCCATCATGGTCCTCTACTGGCATGAATTCAGTATTTAACAGAATAGATCCACTCCAGCTTCCTCCCCCATGCTGAGATTTATCTTCTCTGTGGGTGAAAACTCCCCCCCGTTCATGGGTACTGATATTACAGGTGCTAAAGGAAATCAGAAAATGTATGAGTACTTACTGTCTCACTCCTCCTGGTTCCCATGACAAATAGAATTAAAATATTTATTTTCCCATAGTTTTGGAATATCATTCCCCTCCTCTCTTCTGACTCGGCCTTAACGTTCTCAAAATTACTCTCCAAATTGTTTCCTTATAGTGCAAGTCCACTAGCAAAATCTAGGTGTCTGGCTACCTCTTGTCAGCAGTCAGGTTAATAGACAGGTATTGTTCAATAAGTAAATGCAGAATATAGTGCTGGACTGCAACTCTCATTGGTGCTGACATGCAAGGAAACACTACCTTCATGGTCAGTTCCAAGTGAGTTGCTTTGCCTTTTAATGTTGTGCAAAAATAAGGCACTACCTTTTCCAAAAGATGTTTATGATACCTAGGGATCAGCATGAAGCATGCTGTAAAATGAACAGAATTCTAATCAAATGTTCTAAAGCCAAATGCATTACAGATTCACTTATACACATACCTTTTAGTTTTTGGATGCACCAGAGATCCACCGCTTTGGAGCAGACTCGATTAATCTGCTCTGCATGGGAGCTGACACACTACACAATGCTGCTTGTAGTTGTAGAAGCGGCAAAATACACGTCAGTGTGGAGAAAATGGTGGTGGTGCGCTTTTGAACTGAAACACCTCAGAGGTGTTTCAGTTCAAAAGCGCACCACTGCCATTTTCTTCACTCTGACGCGCATTTTGCCACTTATACAACTGCAAGCGTCAAAGCACCCAGCACTGCAGCACTTGTATGCGTAAAAATGCAATTTGTGTGCTTTAAAATGCCTACACAGTCAGATGGGTGGCAAATTGGCTAGATGGTCGAACCCAGAGAGTGGTGGTGGATAGGTCATTTTCGACCTGGAAGGATGTGGGCAGTGGAGTCCCCCGGGGCTCGGTCCTGGGGCCTGTACTGTTCAACATGTTTATCAGCAATCTGGATGTGGGTGTGGAACGCACACTGTCCAAATTCGCTGACGAAACCAAGTTGTGGGGTGAGATGGGCACGCTGGAGGGGAGGGACTGAATCCAGCTAGATCTAGACAGGTTACAGAGGTGGGTGGATGAGAATAGGATGGAATTCAATGCATACAAGTACAAGGTGCTGCATCTAGGGAGAAGGAACCAGCAACACACCTATAGGCTGGGGAACACCCTTCTTGTCAACACGGTGGCAGAAAGGGATCTTGGAGTCATGGCTGACTCCACGATGAACATGAGCCACCAATGCAAAGAAGCGGTCAGTAAGGCTAACCGCACCTTGTCGTGCACCTACAGATGCATCACAAGCAGGTCCAGGGAGGTGATCATTCCTATGCGGCATTGGTCAGGCTGCAGTTGGAGTATTGCGTCCAGTTCTGGGCGTCACACTTCAAGACGGATGTGGCCAGCATTGAGAGGGTCCAGAGGAGGGCCACCCGCATGGTCAAGGGGCAGCGGGGCAGGCCCTACAAAGAGAGGCTAAAGAGCCTGAACCTATTCAGCCTCCACAAACGAAGGCTGAGAGGGGATCTGGTGGCTGTTTACAAACTCACCAGGGGGAACCAGCGGGAATTGGGGGAGGCTCTGTTCCCCCGGGCACCACCTGGGGTTATTAGGAATAACGGCCAGAAATTGTTAGAGAGAAGGTTCAGGCTGGACAGCAGGAGACATTACTTTACAGTTAGGGCTGCCAGGCTCTGGAATGGGCTCCCAAGTGAGGTGGTGCTCTCTCCTACCTTGGGGGTCTTCAAGAGGAGGCTGGACAGATATTTGGCTGGGATGATATGATCTCAGCACCCGTTCCTGCCAGGGGCAGGGGGTTGGACCTAATGATCTGTTTAGGTCCCTTCCGACCCTAAGTACTGCGATACTATGAAAATATTTATTTAACCCAATTAGGGCCATATACCTCATAAAATTTTGATTTCAGTAAAAACTGAGTACACTAATGAAATTATGAGCCAGTATATCTTTTCTACTGATTCTTTTTATCTTCTGGTATCTATATCTACAATATACATTATATATACTATGAATACTTGTTAAAATTCCTGTGGCACTGATATCTAATGCTGGGGGGAGCTGCAAAGAGTAAAAGATGGGAATAGAAAAAGCAAGCAAAAAGCATCTGAGGGAAGGAAAAGTACAAAAGCTGCATGGTGTCCAATAGTTCTGCAATTTGATGTGACAGACAAAGTTCTAAGCCCTGCTCTAGCCAGGACATCACATTGCTCTTCTTTTCTAACTTTGTCAATGTTACTAAACTAGAGCCTGCACAGAGACAAAGTAGTTTAAATGCCTCACACAATAAAGCTACTCCAGATATAGTTATTCCAGATAGGCTGTACAACACTCCACAACAGTTAATGCAGGGTTGTCTGCATTATACTTTGTGTAATGTCCACATTTGCTAAGTCATGCAGTTTTTAGCAGCCTGGTAAATTCTCCTCCTGGTTGGCCCATGGAATACATGTAATCAAGGGAGCTTTTGATGGATTTCTGGGTGCTTGCTGAGAGTTCTGTCATTAAGTAACCCACCACATCATTCTCAGGGTTAATGCTGGTACTACAGGTTCAACTGTGATACAGTTCCTCATAGTGTGGGTGGATAATGGAAGCATTACTGAAAACCCTGTTCCAGTTCCCCCTTCTTAGATCCTCCTTTGAAGCTCCTTTGCTTTGAATAAGCACACAGACCAGCTTCGAGACAGTCCCCTCACCTTTGTTGGCACTGACAGTGTGTCACAGACATCTTCATTCTGGCGAGTCTTTGGGACGGGGGGAAAAATTCAGCATTCCAAAGAGGGCAAATCAAGTCTAGGGCCTTTAGAAGGTCCACATAAAATGGGGTTAGGACATATCTGCTTTAAATTATATTTGAAGATACTACTGGGGATCAAAAACAGCACTACTGGCCATTCGCCAACAGCTGAAGAAAGATGAAATCTTGTCAAGATGAACAAATGAAGTGGGGTACATGTGTATACCAAGACAGGTTGAAGCACTCCACTGTGGGATACTAGTTAAAGAACCATCATCAGTGGCATAGTTAGGAATGGGTCTACATGAACCCTAGAACAAACAAATTCACTGTGAAGTCGAATTACTCCTATCCCAATGAGGATTACTTACTGAAACCTTAGCAACCAAATGATTTAGTTTAAAAATAGATGGTGTATGGGTACACGGCTCTTTAATGCGAACTAACTACAGTTACTCCAAATAACAACCCTGTGTAAACAGGGCCTCAGCTAACCCTAAGTGCCCTCTTCTTTAATCTGGCCAGTGTTTCCCCAATACTCAATAAGTAAACAGACCAAGTCAATTGTGGATCTTATCAGTCTGTTTCTTTGTCAACACTGCCAGAGGTAACAGAAACTACACAGCCAATGATTTATATCTACATTTTCCTTTGATTCTTACAGACAGTCATCCTCAAAGTACAAAGCTGAAATCCCTGGAGAAGCTCTGACTTATCCAACGTGCCTTCAAGAAAGTTCAAGGAAAATAGAAAAACAGAACAGACTTTTTCTCTGACAGTTGAACATTGGGCTAAAATTCACTATTAATAGTTGGCATTGAATACTAAATATTCAGTAAATAATCTCTCATTTCACTACATAAGAGAGTGACCAAAACTCAGTAAAAGGTAAAGATACTGAAAAAATATCTTCAGTATTTGCGCGACACACTTAAAATAAATAAATAAATTCTCCTGAACATTCTTTGCCCATTGCTCCAATTAAACAAACAAACAACCCCCCTCTCTCCAAATGACATTAGGAGAAACCACAGTGGGGCTTTTCTGTACTTTAGAGGGCTGCAACTGGTGGAAAAAGCATGTGGGAAGGACTGTGGTAAAGGCACTGAACTAGGATGCAAGAGATCTGGGTTCTTTTTATTCTCAACTCTGCCACAAGCATCTTAGATAACCTTGGACAAGTTACTTCATCCCTCTGTGCTGCAGTTTCCCCATCTGTAAAATGGGGATAATATTAACCTACACCAGTGATCACTAATATGTAAAGGTGCTTAGATAGGACAGCAATATATACTGTAGAAATGTTACTAAACACACTGGGGAAATCCAACATAAACCTTGTTCTCTTCGGGAAAAGTACCAAATTATATTTAATGATAAAATTAGCCTAATTTTCCATCCCCTAAATCCTTGTGGGTGTATCTTCACACATCCCTACAGTGTCGTTGTTACTGCACCATCATTTAGCACTTCCAAAAGAAAGTAATTTAGTCCATCCAGTTCTAGTACTTCCTTCTGGAAGTACTAAATGACGGCACAGTAACAGCCTGTACTGCATCATGCTGGCAGCGCACAGTTATTTTTAGCCACTACATTGCTGTAGCAATGTGCTATAACAAGGGAGCACATTGCTACAGCAATATAGCTGTGGCATCAGGGTTTGTGCCCACTAATGCTACATGACTGTAGTGCATTGCTACAGCAACCCTAGTGTCATGTGTAGACACGGCCACTGATCCTCTAACTACTCTAATACTATTAAAATCTCCACAATCCATTTCCTTCACCAGGGCTCACAATGCTACAAACAGCACATGTACTACTTACCCTATCACCAGATACAAGGCGGGTACCATTAGTACTCCAGTTTAGGATGGTAATTTCAGCATTATGCTCAGGGGGTACTGTGTGATGTTCCTTGTCCTGTTTGTTAATTACTATCAATTCTCCTGCCTCCCAGCCCACTGCCAAGATAGGTCTGGAGGGGTGCCAGCCAAGGGCTGTGGCCTGAAAGCTCCTTTCAGTGTGTGCTTCTGGCACATGCTCTCCCTGAAAAAGAAAAGAGACAGACTTCAGAACTTGCCATCAGAATAATCTTTCTTATGTAACCTGTTGTCCAACAAGCAAGATATTTTCTGTTACACAAGGTAAATACATAGAGTACCTAACAAGGATATATGAAGTGGCAACACACAACCCAAACACAAAAACTTAACATGCATAAAAATATATACTAAAGTGTGATATATGGATGAAACACTATCAGTGAAAAACACAACGTTAAATATTAAGTCTCCTCATACTGTTTTTATGACCTATACTTTTCTCTCAGTACAGATGAATAACCCTTGCTGACATTAAAGAAACTTTCACTCCTTGTATGAAGGAATGAAAAGGCCTCTTCTAGACCTGGAGGTGCAAGATGACACATGACAGAGAAAAGGGGTCTGAGTAATTTCTTCTGGGTATGCAACATAATGCACGGCAGCTCCTTTAATTTTGCAGGTTCCCCTATACAACATCCCCATTGCTGATTGGCTGAGGGGCCCCAGTGGCTCTGGTGCTTGCTGCTAATCAGCCAAGAGGCAAAAACAGCATCATATTTAAAACCGCAGTTTTCGCCACCCGGCCGATCAGGAGCAAGCATTGGGGTCCCTCTGCTAAATCGGCAGGGAGGGCCCACAGGGGAACCTGCAAGATTAAAGGAGCTGCCGTGCAGCCCACTTCCGCCGTGAATTTGGTAGTTCCCTACTAATGGCTAAGCAGAGAATAGGGGCTCAGAAGATCTAAATCTTATACTTCTGTAGCTGATTTGCTTTGAAACCTTGCTCAAGCCACAATCTCTTTCAACATCACTTCTTTTACAAGTAAAATCAATACAATTACAGGTTTCCCTCGATTTATGCAGGTTCTGTATATATGAATTTGCTCTTATGAGATGACCCTTTTTATACCCAAAATTCGTTATATGCAAGGTAAATTCACTCTTATGTGATCGGCATAGATGCCTCCCCCCCCCCAACAGGTAAGACTGTATGGGGAGGGGAAAGAGCTACGGGGCTGGGGCCCCACTCACCCCAGCCCCTGCTGCAGATGCTCTGGGAGCAGCCGACACCAGCCGCCTGCAGGCGCTGGGCTGCACCATGCCCCAAACCCCCCGGGGACTCAGCTTGTCTCCACTCAGCCCAGGAGCTCCTGGGCTGCACCATGCCATGGTGCAGGCAAGGGGTGTCTGCTGCTCCCAGGTCCATTGCAGCAGCAGCTGGAGTGAGTGGGGACAAGCAGAGCCCCAGGGAGTTTGGGGCACTGTGTAGCCCAGAGGCTGCAGGCAGCTGGGAGATGCAGGCAGCTGGCTGGGGCCGCTGCAGCAGGGGCTGGGTGAGTGGGGAGAAGCAGAGTCCCAGGGCTGCAGCACGGAACAAAGCAGAGGGAATTGTAAGTGGGTGCAGGGCACAGTGCAGGGGGGGCACAGCTCTTGCTGTTACACACACCCTGAGAGGGCTGAGGGCCTATGCCAGGTTCTTCCTGGGGCGCATGTCCCAGATCTGCATGCGGTATGAGAGCAGGCTGCTGCTGCAGGCTGGGCCTGGCAATGGCACCGGGCTCTTCCCAGTGCTCAGTGGTGATGCTGGAGGGGCAGGTTGCAGGGACTACAGCAAATTTTGGGGTGGCAGCAGTCCCCCTCCCAGTGCCACTGCCCACCCTGTGCTCCGGGAAGAACCTGGTGCCGCTGCCAGCCCCAGGCTGCAGCAGCAGACTGCTCTTGTTCCGCGGGCAGATCCAGGGGCATGCAGTCCCCCGGAAGAGCCCGACGCAGGCCCCCAGCTGACAGCCCTCCCCAGGTGTGTGTAGCAGCATGGGCTGCATCCCCCGTTTTCCCCCACTCTGCACCCACTAACAGGTCCCTCCACTTTGCTCCCTGCTGCAGCCCCAGGAGCGACCGACGGGCTGTGCCGCACCCCTCCTCCAGTCCCTTCCTTAGTCCCAGCCTTCCTCCCTCCCTCCCTCACTGCCACTGGAATGTATCCCTATTTCTTACATTATAGACTGGGTTCCCTTTATGTGAATTCAATTTATGCGCAGTTTTCCGGCAATGCATGTACCACATAAATCAAGGGAAACCTGTATATGCATCCAATTTTGTAAAGCACTTTCAACCCCTATAGGTTCCATAGCGTGCCCATCCTACTAGACTTGACACATTTTTCAATGCACCTGATGCTAGATGGATTCAGGCAGCATATCCTCAACTAGCATGAACCAAATATTCTTCTTAAGAACTATGGCACTCAACCTGCGCACACACCTTATGAGAAGTCTGAGGTGGGGAAGTTTCCAGCTACATGCCAAACTGGGGGAAGACATTATCATAGGTCCTGTAAAACCTCTATGAAAAAAAAATCTGGTTCTAGGCTTGTCTCCTCTAGGTAATGCTTTTGTTCTTTATATTCCCTTACTATGGTCAACTTTGATTACAAATTCTGACTTATTTGGAAAAATCTAGCATGTACCCAGTTAGTGTTTTTGCCCCAAATCTGAGCTGTATTTCTCATTACACACAATCTGCACAGTTCAAAATCAAAACCATATTGACAGCTGTCTTAAAACAAAGGGAAAAAAAGCCAGTCTCTGGAACTCATTTGACCAGAAACACCAACTTATATTGGTGGGCACTGTTGCTGAATTCAGGTAAGTCAATGATTGATAACTTTGATATGCACAGCACTGGCCACTATTAATAACCAAAATGTGTAGAGGACCACAAGTTAGGGCACAAGTTTATAATTTTAAAAAATCCAAACTTCATAGTTTCTATTCCACTAAGGTTTTAATAGTGGTTGAGAGATCACAACAAAGTAATGTCAAAGCAGACGTTCCTGAATGCGAACCTGTTCCAGATAGATATCCACGCTGCCTCCAGAAGCTGCACTGACAGAAGCAACAGCCAAAAGTGGATGAAGAGGGTGCCATGTTATGTCTGAAGGGGTGCCAACTGAATCAGGAGCATCTATATGGTGATCCACATACACAGCCATGGTTACATATGTGAACCCAGGCAGGGCCTAGTCCTATACAAGGAAAACAAAACCGGTGCAGTCAGATTAAGAATATTCTCATTTTCCTAACCCTTACTATATCAGTTACACACACAGTGTAATATTCAGAAACACAGATACCACCATATGGAAACAGACTAAAGGCCCAGGTAATTATGTATCTTGCTTCCAGCAGCGACCTATGCAGGTTTATTTAACTTTTCTCTGGAATAGCGTAGATTTACTTGCCAACTGTGCAATATATAATAAATTAAAAATTGCCATTCTGGGATACGAAATAGTTAGCATATTGAAATGTGGCCCTTATTTTGTTATTAGATAATATGTTTAGCTTGCTATGAGAACAAACTTTTACACATAAGCACTGAAATGCCTGCATAGCTGTGAATGCCTAGATGTAACTTATTCCTCACATATCATCAGCAAAATTACGATCTAAATTCTGAGGCAGGATATTTACGAATGGTAGTAAAGTTGAAATGAGAAAGACACAAAAGTCATGCTCTGCTCAGAAATCTGTGACTGAACTGAAGCTGTTCTGTAATAGCTTAATAACACTACATGGTGACATGGTTATTGGGATTTTATTGTATCAATATGTTAATTTTTATAGGAGGTATACAGAAAAAATGAGCAAAAATAATACCTCAAGATCACCTCCCCTCAGGAAGCATGTGAGAGTTGTTTAGAACCAGGAACAAGCTCAAACCAAATGAACTGTGCCAAGTTTCAAAAGACTCACAGAGTGAAAGGAGTTTTGATTTGTCATTCAGGGGATCCAAATGGCAAGACAGGAACTTGCTAAAAAAGCCTTTTTAATTGCATTACCTTGGTCAGGGTATTTCCTCTGCCACCATCATGGTCATGGCAATTAAAATGGTGTGTAGTGGAGGGTGCACCCTTGTCTGCTTGTGGGCAGGACTCCTTATGACAGCCTCATAGTTAGCTTCCCATTGGCCAGCTTCCAATGAGAGGATCTCAACTACATGCTGACTTTATGGAAATGGGAGATTCCTCCCTAGCTTATTCCTGTGGCCATATGGCTGAGGGCAATTGAAACTCAGGGGCATCTAAACCTTGAGTCTCTGGAGTTAGGCCTGCATGCAGGATGCTTGCCAAAGGATTTGGAAGTATCTTAAGCCCCAGGCTGGCATGGAGGTTACTTGCTGGTAGCAGGGCCACATATGGTTCATGGATGATTCAAACAGATTTGGACCTGGGTAAAAACATAACTTGCTAAAAAAGCCTGAAGCAGTTAGGCCTGCCTAGCTTGCCATTTGGGCAGACAAAGCATTTTGAGAAAATAAATGTACATGGACACATTTGCTTTAAAATCCCTTTTACCCATTGTTTTGTTCTCATTGTTAAATAAGGAATAATTTTGTTTTATAAAGGCATTTTAGTTACTACCTGTCTCACAGATGGAAGAATATGCCAAGCCCATGTGCACCCACTGTTGTTACCCAACTTTTAGGTAAGAACAGTGGGTGATCAGGGTACTATATCCTATGTATCAGTCTAAGACAGGTGTTTTCAACCTTTTTTAACAAGTGTACCTCTTCTGTCTCAAAGTGCTAGCTCATGTAACCCTTTATATTTTTTTCTTGTTTTTAATATTACCAATTATGTGATATAAGGCAGTGTGACAGGGCAGTTTTAATACTCTGTCACTTTAAGGGGTAGAGCAGCTAGCCTCCAGGTGTCTGATGAGGGTGGCCATTTTGGAGAGCTCTGGTATAAGAGCAGAGCAGTTTGTGTTCTGCAGTTTTGGGAGTAATATCACTTGGTGGAGCTCCTGCTCTAGGAATATCTTAGAGGTAAGGGTGAGGCTATGGGGAAGGAAAAGGACTCATTGGTCCTGGACATGCCCTGAAATTGTACCCTGCTGGTATAGGGAGGCTGGGTGGGCCTGCCTGTGGTGGGACAGGGTCACTTATATGTCAGGTTTGAGAACCACCCTGGTGTAAGGTGGGTTGGGCACCTAAACCCCTGCCTCCCACCTGCTAACATCAAAACAATAGAACATTTTGGCATGGCAGGAGAGAGGCAGGCAGTTCCTCCAAGGACAAAGGAGCAGGCTGGTCTCTACTCCTTTAGTCACAGGCAGACTATACTAATTAACATTGAATGCATTATTAATATGTGGCATCTGGCTGGTAAGTCTGTTGTGGGGGGGAGGGGCTGGGGCTGGAGCAGGCGCTGCATAGCTGGGGCAGAGCATGGGACTGAGCCACAGGCAGCTCATATGGGAGATGCAGGGGGGGTTGGTTTCTGGCACTACACACCCCAGGAGGGCATGGGGGAAGCGTGCCCTTGAATCTGTGCTGGGTAAGGGCGGGCTACCACTGTGGGCTGGGACCAGGGGGGTGCCAGGCTCTTCCCAACAGGGGGGCTGGGCCAAGATATGCTCAGAGTGGGAGGTGGCAGCCTTGGGAAGGGAAGCAATGTGGGGGCTTCAGCCACCCCAAAATTCATTGATTGCTGATACTGTCACTTCCTTATATCTGTGCCGATCTGATGGGACCAATGTATTAGTGCACCTCTAGTAACGTTTTTTTCCATTCTGTGTACCCCTGGCTGACGACCACTGGTCTAAGACTAGAAGAATTAACCAGTACTATAAGAATAAAAAAAAAAAGGTTCCCCAAATGTTTTGTTATATAATCTTTTGAACTTGACTTGCAGCATAGCAGTCTACATACTTTTTTTTTTTTTTTTTTTCTTCTATATATCTCCTCATAACTAGTAACTACATACCTGCCAAAAGTGCACAGCAATGCGATTAACATCATATGAAGTTTCCTTTCTCGCCTCTCTTCAGGGAGATAATTGTATGTTTAGGAGAACATTGTGCTCTCCTATGTATATTGTTTGGAGGGGATTTTTTTTTTTTCTTATTCAGTCAGGGTCTGAAGTATTAGTCTGAAGGGCATCAAGTATAGGACTGGAATCTTAATAAAAAAATAAAACACTTTTTCAAAAAGGAAGGCTTTTTGAGATTCTGATGAGCAAGCTTAAGGTAAAAGGTGCTGCAAGTCGCAACAAACCAGCATGCTATTTGAAGAGCTGGCACTAGCTGCTGCACCACTTAAATATATGCATATCAGTTTTGATTTGTATTCTTCTATCTTGGTAAGATAGTTCCTAAAGCTATTTATATTCTCTATGTAATACCATCAGCTGTATTGGATCACATATCAATTGTCAACCAAGAATGTAGTTTTGATTGGGGGGGTGGGTGGGTTGGTTGGTTGGTTGTTTTGTCCTACACAAGTCTGACCATTACTGAACTGTGCTTGGCTACAGACTTGAGCTTCTTAATGAATCCATCAGAGATAATAAATCTAGTTTTCTGAAAGGATGTGAGGACTTCCTTAAGAGATTCTGCAATTACCTCTAAGAAATCATCATAAATCCTCTTTAAACTTTTAATTCAAAGTTGTTGTGTTTTGTTTTGTTTTGTTTTTTTTTTAAATGGGTTTATAAAATCATACTATAGAGAGCAAAAATGACAAATCTGAGACGGGGGAAATAGTATCTGTCCCTTGATCTACAAACTCTGTATTGGGTTTCAAACTGCATGATCAAGACTACTTTCCTTTGGTGCACTCTTACCCATCTACAGCTACAGCTTTTGATTGGTAAAAGATGCATATTGTACAAACATACTAGTGATTTGGGTCCTGAACATGCAATGAGCTTCATGTGGGCAGACAAGCCCCCACAAAACTGGGGGGGGTGTTGCACTGCTCTGCCTGAACAAAGTCAGTGACAGGGCTGGGTTCCTCATTTCCCCATTATCTGGTTTTGCATTTTATTCCTTTTGAGCAAAAGGACTGGTCCATTCGACAGTTCTTCTTCCCCACCTTGCTTCCTACTTCCCCGATGTTTGTGTTTTTAAGTTATTAGTTGACAAACAAAGCCCAATAATGGTATGTAAAGGTAAAAAAAACACAGGACCAGGTTACGCAGAGAGGTTGTAAACTCTCCATCCTTGGAGATGTTTAGGACTCAGCTAGACAAAGCCTTGGCTGGGATGACCTAGGTGGGGATGGTCCTGCCTTGAGTAGGGGCTTAGACTAGATATGACCTCCTGAGGTCCCTTCCAGCTCTCCTTTTTGATGATTCTGTGGGAGCTGCTCTGTCACCCCACAGACCACAACATGGAAGCAAAGCGCTGCTCTCTTCAAGTTTTATTTTAAAAAGGGGAGAAACAAAACTAGCAGCCGTGTTAAAGGCACTCTCAGTACAAAGACTACGGCGGCCACGGATCACCCCGTGACTCTCACCAGGGTGCGGGGCACCCTGGGGGGCTACCAGATCCTTCAAAGGGCGACGCGAGGAGAGAGGCGGGCGAGGCGGGGCGGCTCCTGGGCCCGGCCCAGTAGGCAGGTGACCCCGGCGCACGGGGCCTTCCGGCCACAGGCGCTCTGGAGGGAGCC